ATTTAACAATTCACCAAATCTATCAAATTCAAAAGCAGAAACAGTCCATTTAACATCATATGTCCAACTATTCTCCATTGAGACCTTTGATATTAACAAACAAATTTAACCTTAAAGACAATAAATAATAACATCATAAATCAGAGTAAATCGACATGTAGCCCCAAATTTTGTTCCAAATACATACTGACCATCATTTTTATTTATCTAACAGTCCTCTTTTAGTTTTCGGGTTCTCGGGAAACTTTGAGTGTCAAATGATCAATCCTCTCTCTCTATGTATACATACATATATATATATATATATATATATATATATATATATATATATATATATATATATATATTATATATATATATATATATATATATATATATATATCAAAGTTGAAAAATCGTTTGACGGTAGCTCGACGGTCGACTGATGTTATGGGATTAATCGGTCTTGGCGGAGATTAATCGGAGACCATAGATTAGTAATAAAATATTAAAATTAATTAAATATTAATATATCTTAAGAAAAACAAGTACTTCAAAATTAAAAAATAAGAAAAATTGTAATTTGGAAATTTTGAAATACGAAAATATGAACATTTTTGTATAATATTTGAAATTTTGAAAATTTGAAAATTTGAAATTTTGTGAGTAATTTTTTTTTATTTCTTTTTAAAAGTTTTTTGACCTTTTTTTTTTTTTTTATTTTTTTCGAACGTTTTGACATTTGTTGACCGATTAATCCCACCAAGGCCGATTAATCCCGCCAAACCCGATTAATCCTAAATTTCCGATTAATACCCAAATCCTCGACGGTTGGAGAACGCCAAGCGATCCACCATAATATATCGTTTTGTTTGATATATTCATTATAATGTTTTTAAACTTCAACCTCTAACTTGATTTACTTTCAAGATTTTCAAATTTTCACTATTATTTTCCTTTTAAATCAAATATTTTTTTTTTCGAACACATACTAGGCTATATATATTGTAGTTGTAAATGAAAATTATGTTAGACGAAGATAAATGTGAATTTTATAAAAATCTTGGAAATAAATCAAGTTAAACGTTGAATTATAAGAACATTGGACAATTACAATGTATATATGATATTAAAACTACGTAGTATGATAAGTTTGAGTATCTAAGCTTATATACCCTTAAGGGTATATTTACTATTCCCCTATATATATATATATATATATAATATATATATATATATATATATATATATATATATATATATATATATATATATATATATATATATATATATATATATAATAGTTTCCAATATGTTAGGATTATTTACTTACAAAATAATTGGTTTTAGATAGTCCATTAATATATCATCTGCTGCAAAAAAATACAGATCAAAATAATGGAAGCTGCAAACAAACCTGGTGTGGTGATAAATTTGGGTTATGCATCAAGACTGTATCCAATGATCTCTGACCCTATCTATTCTTCCAGCAAAGGTATAATTACATTACACTAAATATCAGCAGCAAATAGCATCCGATGATCTTGATTCACACTAGATTCTCTTTATCTGCATATATACTATTGTTAATTCTGATAGATGGTTTTTTTTTTTTTTTTTTTTTTTTATATTTTTTTGAAAGGGTGTGTGGTTATGTTTACAAGATCACTTTCTTCCTACAAGGAAAAAGGTATCCGTGTCAATGTGCTTTGCCCAGAGGTCAGACGAACTCCTTATTTATGATTATGTTTCGCTAATGATGCAAAATAATTTTTTTGTAATTAATAAGTTATTTTCCGCGATTTGCCTAGGGTTTGCAATCATATGGTCCTTTTTTTATTTTTATTTTTTTTATTTTTTATTTTTTTAGTATTGTTAGATTAAACTAATTAAAACAAGTCTATGCAAATAAAGATATGAAGACTATTATTAGGAGATAAACACATGAATAATACAATATAAAAGTTTGCTTAAATTGCTGATATCAATCGTCAATGAGAATTACATCTACTTTCATAATCTCCTTACTTTAATTAACTAATATTTATCCAATCCATCAATTTTGGACTACCCGATTAATCTTCTATAATCTCCTTTCTTTAATTGGTTTCTCGTTGAGCTTAATCACTCGAAGCTTCCCTTGTATAATGGTAAACTTAATTATTGCCAATGCCTTAGTAAGTATGCTTGCCTTTTGCTCTTTTGAGAAACGAACTCCATAATGATTTGTCTATTCTCCAAACATTCCTAAATGAACTCAAACTTTGTATTGATGTGTTTGCGTCACCATGGAATACCAAATTCTTCACCAATTGAACTGGCGATTTGCTATGTACGAAAAGTTCCACCGGTATGATGATCATTTCATCTAACAGATTAGACAACGAATTATCGCTTGCCAAGCCTCCATCCGAACCTTCATGAACTCCATCCAAAAGTTAGAAATGTCATTGTACTTTGTTTTTACGTTTGCCACGTGATAGTGCTTTCTCGATGCTAGGAAAGCATTTTGTTAGTGCGATTATAGTTCACCACATAGACACACAAGTTTTGACCTTGATTCAATCCGAAATCATAACAATTTTATGAGTTCGGATTTTAATTTTTATATTCATTTACCTGTTTACAACCCATACATGTTTACCTTTTTATTAATGGATTGGGTATGGATGTTTGTCTATACGTTCCACTTAAATATATATATATATATATATATATATATATATATATATATATATATATATAACTCGATTGGTAAGTAAAATATAGTACATATTGTAAAAGGGTCAGATTAATCGGTCGGATATTCGTCGAGAATCATTAATTTATCGCACACACTAAAATAATGAAAATTTAATGGGTTGGTTATTCGTTGATTTTGTGTTTGTGGATATGGATTCGATTATTTAACACCCTAAGTGTTATTAGGAAAGTAGGTCATGTTTTTAAAATTTTAAAATGGTTTGGATCAAGGGTGTTTCGCTTCAAACTCCCCTAATTGATAAATGTACCACTACATCTCCGCCAAGGTCACTGTCGAAAAAACCCACAAGTTCTTTGCTCCTTTAATCATGATGATACATGATGTCATAATTAATTGTACCTTTCACATGCTGAAGCACTTGCTTCATCGCATATTTGTAAAGTGACTTTAGTCTTTCCATATAACGACTAAGTAAACAAATCGGGTCGGGTATGAATTAAGTACCTCAAACTCCACACAATTCACATATATTCGGTGGGATCCACTAGTTCTCATTCTTCTTCTTTCTTGAGTTTCAGTTATGGGAAAAGTTTGGGTTGCAATCTTTCATAGCAAACTTCTCCAAATTCCTCTTTGCATACGCCAATTATTTTAACAATGCTCCATCTTTTTTTTTACCCTTTTATGCCAAAGTAAAAAAATAAGCAATCCAAGATCACTAATTTTGATATTTTTCATAAATTCCACTTTAAATTCATTAATTTCCTTTTCAATAAAGCCAATAATGATAAGATCATCTATATATATACAACAAAAATTAATGACAAACCTCCTGTGTTTCGAGTGTAAATGACTTTATCATACCTTTTGAACCCAATATTATTCAAGCTTTTATCCAAGCAAATATTGCATGCCTTTTGTACTTAATTGATGTAAACCAGAAACACTTTAGATAGATTGTAAAATTTTGTCTTAATTCCTTTAACAGCGAAAACTTGGATTTGCAGCATACTCTTCTTCATTTAGCCGACCATTTAGAAGTATGACCATTAAGTCAAAATGGTTTATCTCCCAATTCAATTGGGGTGCTAATACGATAATAAGTCAGATCGTATCAAGTAGAGCTGGTGTGAATACTTCCTTAAAACCGGCAACATGTTTTTGTAAGAAACATCTTGTAATGAGATACGCCTTATACATGATGTTTGTTCCAAAAGTATCATTTTAACCTTGAATAATTACTTTAATCTAATGAGTTTGTGACCATAAAGTAGATCAATAAGTTTCCAAGTATGCAATCCATTAATTTTAGATTTATGCGGTTAAACTTCTACTAATACTATTATCAATATATATATATATATATATATATATATATATATATATATATATATATATATATATATATATATATATATATTAGCCGAAGATATCTTTCAGATATCTTTCCTCATATTGAGGAAGTATTGTTATAGTTGATAAACTCTTCATTATAGATAGCGATAGGATATTGTATAAATATGGATTGTAAATCATTGGAATGAGACGGGGAAAATTATCAATTAACATGGTATCAGAGCACAAATATCATTAACCCTACCTCGCCTCCTGTTCTTCTCCTGTTCTTCCCTGTACGCCATTTTTTTTCTCTTCTTTTTCAATGGACCCAAAATCTCACCCAGCCATCACAGTCACAAACATATGGAACTTCATTCCGTTTATACTGGAGATGGAGAGCGGACAGTACACCTCATGGGCAGAATTATTTCGCATCCATTGCAGGGCTTTTCAGGTTGCAGATCACATTGATTCTACCGTCATCCCTCCTTCAAAACCACCTTCTTCTTCTTCTTCTTCCTCAACCTCAACAAAAGCTGATCAAACCTCCACTGAAGCCGACAAAACTAAAGCATCTGAGTTTGCAGCATGGTCACGACTCGATGCTATTGTTCTCCAATGGATCTACAGCACAATTTCTAATGATCTGCTGCACACAATTTTGACACCAAACACCACTGCGTGTCAGGCATGGACTGCCCTTGAAAACATTTTTCAAGATAACCAGAGCACTAGAGCTGTCTATCTTGACAGCAAATTCGTCTCTACAAGACTTGATCAACACCCTAACATCTCCTCCTATTGCCAAGCCATGAAGATGCTTGCTGATCAACTGGCAAATGTGGGAAACCCGGTTTCCAACCAACGTCTTGTTCTTCAACTAATTGCTGGTCTCAATGAAAGCTATGAAGGGGTCGCGATGATCATCCAGCAAACAACACCCTTACCTGATTTCTATGCAGTTCGCTCCAAACTCATCATGGAAGAAGCACGAAAAGCTCATCAGGTTGCTGCCATTGCTGTATCCCTAACCGGAGGCACCTCCGCTACCGCCTTGACTGCTTCAGCACCAATGACTCATCCAAATTTTGGAGATAGCAGCCGCCTTAACCACCAACAGGCAGATCCCTTTACTTCTCGTGGACGCGGACGGGGTCGAGGAGGACGCGGTCGTGGACGATCTTCCAACGGGCGTGGACGCGGTACCAACAATAACCAAACCCAACAGACATACAATCGGGGGTCCTGTCCCTATCAGCCATGGACTACACCGCCACCATGGGCTTTTCCCAACTATACACCATGGGCTTACCCCCCTTGCCCATATCCGACCCAGCAATATGGATCCTCCAGACCTCCATCAGTTTCCCCCGGGATTCTAGGCAATCGACCTCAGCAGGCCTATCTGGTATCAGAAATCAGCCACACACCAACCGATCTTGAGCAAGCTTTTCACACAATGACATTACACCCACCTGATCAGACTTGGTATGCTGATACCAGAGCAACGTCACACATGACTCCCAACACAAGTAACTTCACGTCTTATATCAATAATGGTCTTTCTCAGAATGTCATTGTCGGTAATGGTTCCACTATTCCAATTCAAGGCACCGGTAATCAAACACTTCCTTACCCTCTTCCTCCTTTTATTCTAAAAAATGTTCTTCACACTCCAAATGTCATTAAAAATCTTTTATCCATTCGTCGCTTCACTATTGACAACAATGTTTCCGTAGAATTTGACAAGTTTGGTTTTGATGTGAAGAACTTCCAGACGCGGACTCCAATCCTCCGTTGCAATAGTACCGGTGCTCTCTACCCTTTCAAGCTCCAGTCAAATTCCCAAGTTACACAACCTTCTACTTTTGCTGCAATTACAAGAGACCTATGGCATCATCGCCTTGGCCACCCGGGCGCGGATGTTTTATATTCTTTACGTTCTACTTTAAATTTTCCTAGATCAAAACCTTTTTCTTCTGTTTGTCGTTCTTGTGTGTTGGGTAAACAAATAAAACTTCCTTTTATTACTTCTCAGTCAATAACTCATTTACCTTTTGACATTATTCATACGGATCTATGGACCTCCCCTGTGTTAAGCTCTAGTGGTCACCGCTACTATATTTTATTTTTGGATGACAAAACCAATTATTTATGAACTTATCCTCTAGCCAATAAGTCCCAAGTTTTTTCCATCTTCATCCAATTCTTTGCTATGGTCAAAACACAATTCCATTACACTATTAAAACCATACAATGTGATAACGGTCGTGAGTTTGATAACCATCAATTTCACAATTTTTGCTCTCAAAATGGCCTTCAATTCCGCTTTTCTTGTCCGCACACATCTCCTCAAAATGGAAAAGCTGAACGTAAAATACGATCCATTAATAATATCCTTCGCACTCTTCTCACCCACTCAAACGTACCCATGCATTTTTGGCACCATGCCCTCCAACATGCTACGTACCTGTTAAACATTCTTCCCACCAAACTTATTGCCAATCTAACCCCTACACATCTTCTATATAATCTTCAACCCTCATATTCACACCTTCGTACCTTCGGTTGTCTATGTTACCCACTTACTCCATCTCCCACCATCCACAAACTCCAAAAACGTTCCCGACCCTGCATTTTCTTAGGCCACCCCATCAATCACCGAGGGTACAAATGTTTTGACATGCAAAATAAAACCATTATTATATCCCGCCATGTAATATTCGATGAAACTATTTTTCCCTATCTTAACCTATCATCACTGACCCCTACAACCCAACTATCATCAGACCCACACCCATTAATGTGGTCCGACTCCATTCAACCAACCCCCAACGCAGCTACGCCTCCCCCATTGGTTGACAACAATGCTCCGACAACCACCCCATCACCTCCCCTAATCACTTATTCACGGCGTACAAGGCCTACCCTTCAACAACCGCCTTCCACAAAAACAACCCCTTCTGGTTCGAACCCCCTACCAATCACCTCACAAACACCTTCTGTTCCTCCTACTCGTACCATCCACACCAGAAGTATGTCTGGCATTTCGAAACCCAAACAACACTACAACCTCCATACTTCTACCTCTCTCTCCCCTATCCCTCGAAACCCAATAGAAGCACTTAAAAACCCGGATTGGAATAAAGCGATGACAGACGAGTTTCAGGCCCTTATTGATAATAAGACGTGAGAGTTAGTCCCGAAACATAACAATATGAATATAGTGCGTAGTATGTGGATTTATCGTCATAAAACTAAGTCTGATGGTTCTTTAGAGCGATACAAAGCTCGTTTGGTTTGTGATGGCAGGTCTCAAAAAGCAGGTATCGACTGTGGTGACACTTTCAGCCCCGTGGTAAAGCCGGCGACAATTCGGACTGTTTTGTCCCTAGCTCTTTCTAATGAGTGGCAAATTCACCAACTCGACGTGAAAAACACGTTTCTACATGGACATCTACATGAAACGGTTTACATGCATCAACCCCCGGCTTTCGTAATCATTTGTATCCAAATCATGTATGCCTGCTTAAAAAGTCTCTCTACGGACTTAAACAAGCACCACGAGCTTGGTACCAAAGATTTGCTGACTACGTATTCACTATGGGGTTCAAACATAGCAAATGTGACCATTCACTATTCGTATACAAAAAGGGAACCCATACGACCTTCCTCCTTCTATATGTAGACGACATCTTACTCATCACCTCCTCACCCGGATTACATCATAAGTTTATGGTTTTATTAGCAAAAGAGTTTGCCATGAAAGATCTTGGACCCCTAAGCTACTTTCTTGGCATTTCGGTGTCTCGTCATAAAGATTCACTTTTTTTGTCACAACAAAAGTACGCCACCGACATTTTGGAACGAGCAGGCATGACTTCATGTCACCCAACTTCTACACCAGTTGACAGTAAGGCCAAATTAAGCAGCACCGATGGAACTCTTTTGCCTGACGGGGGAATACACTATCGCCAGCTGGCAGGGGCTCTCCAATACTTGACCTTCACACGGCCAGACATAAGCTACGCAGTTCAACAAGTTTGCATGCACATGCATGCACCCCGAACATCTCATTTTAATGCTCTTAAACGAATTTTGAGGTATATTAAAGGTACTCTTGCTCACGGGTTGTATCTTCACAAATCACCTTCTAGGAAACTTATTGCCTATACCGATGCCGATTGGGCAGGTTGCCCGGACACGAGACGCTCAACTTCTGGTTACTGTGTCTACTTGGGCGATAACCTAATATCCTGGTCCTCCAAGCGTCAACTAACACTCTCCCGATCTAGTGCAGAAGCAGAATACCGGGGAGTTGCAAAGGTCGTTTCCGAAACATGTTGGATCCGAAAATTGTTGTTGGAGCTTCATGTCCCTCCAACTACAGCCACACTAGTCTATTGTGACAATGTCAGCGCCGTTTACTTATCATGCAACCCGGTTCAACACCAACGTACCAAACACATCGAGCTGGACATTCATTTCGTTCGGGAAAAGGTCGCTCAGGGTCAAGTCCGTGTATTCCACATTCCCTCTCGCTATCAGATTGCGGATATCTTCACAAAGGGTCTACCTTTCATTCTCTTTGACGATTTCAAGTACAGTCTCAACGTTCGTCATCCTCCCGATTCGACTGCGGGGGTCTATTAGCCGAAGATATCTTTCAGATATCTTTCCTCATATTGAGGAAGTATTGTTATAGTTGATAAACTCTTCATTATAGATAGCGATAGGATATTGTATAAATATGGATTGTAAATCATTGGAATGAGACGGGGAAAATTATCAATTAACAATATATATATATATATATATATATATATATATATATATTATATATATATATATATATATATATATATATATATATATATATATATATATATATATATATATATATTATATGCATATTAATCAAGCTAAATTTGTGGGTTTTCAGCTTCTTAACTTGAATGGAAGCTCAAATTCCATGGATACATTGATAGAAGGTACTATGTTGTACTACTTCATCATACTTCATGAGAGGAGAGAATAGGAGGACAACTGATTCTGTGAATTATGAAATTAATTAGTTGTTTGAGTTGTCATCATATGAAACAGGTGCCTTTCAACTTATTACCGATGAAAGTAAAGCTGGCTCTTGTTTACTTATCACAAACAGTGGAGGCCTGGAATACATGCCAACATCATTTGATCAAGAAGAAAAAAACTTGGCAGCGATCCCATCAAGATTGATGAAGACAATTCCTTTGGTTGTTAATTCTAGCATCGAGATCCCTGATAACTTTAAGCAATTGTAAGTTCTCATATATATATATATATATAATATATATATATATATATATATATATATATATATATATATATATATATAAATATATATATATATATATATATATATATATATATATATATATCTCATTTTGGTATTCATTGGTAATATTCTTAATATTTTGATTACGTCTTGTGCCATTTGACACTTGTGATGCAGAATTATTCACACTCTTAGTAGAAATTTTCGGGCTGCTACACGTGTGATATGTGCACCCTTGAAATTGCCGATTAAACCAGATCATGTCCTCTTAAAAATCATAGTATTTTTTTTCTTTCATAAACCGATAAATCTTACATCCATCTAATTATATTTTGTCCTTATGAGACTAGAGCATTTGGGGATGGATAGCTTTCAACAACTTCCTAGGCCAAAAGATTTTTTTTTTTTTTTTTTTTTTTTTTTTTTTTTTTTGTTGTTTCTAATATTTTAATTCATTATTGTTAGTATCGTTTTCCTCTTATTATTTGTTGGCCTTATCATATAAATTATACGGACACTCACTCTTCTCATAATGTTTAAATTATTAAATAGAATTAGAATATGCATGTTTATTGAACATAATGTTACATTGTTCGTTTTCTTCTTCTTGTGAAATTTTTTGTATAATGACAGGTGATTTATAGTAGTAATGGTTACTTACGTGGAACCAAAGAAGAAATCAGCTCTAAACTTCCATTTTATCCTGGACTTGAGGTACAAAAATTAACACATATCGACAACATTTATAACGTAATACTTTTTAGAATTGAGGTGAAATTTCTGGATTCACGGATTTGTTTTAAATATTCTAGATATTTGACCATTTACAAAATAAAGGCTGTAGGAATAATTGCTCTAATGGGTGATGAGGTTAAAAATCTAAAAGTCGGCACTCCAGCAGCAATACGTAATATTGGAGGTTATTCTGAATTTACCATGGTATATGATTTTATTGAATTATTTTCTTTTTTATCTCGAGTATTCTAGATAAACTATTTAATCAAATGCAAAATTACAAGGTGTAGGATCAATGTTTTTTTTATCTAATTTTAATTACCATCTTATATTATTAGGTACCCTCAGAACTCATTATTCCTGTCGAATCACTGCACCCTGAAGTTGTTGCCATGCTTGTTTCTGGACTTACAGCATCCATTGCTCTAGAAAAGGTTTGTTTTGATTTTCATTTTCAATTAGAATTAATGTAGCAGCATATTTTTTTGATTAATTTTCATCAGCTAGAATAAATAGCAGATTGAGACTTCATTTGCAAGTTACCTTTTTCATGATCATGCAGGCAGCACACATGAAGTCTGGAGAGACAGTTCTTGTCACTGCTGCTGCAGGAGGAACAGGACAATTTGCAGCTCAAGTAATTATCTAAAGCTTTTTAATAATCTCATCTAACTGTATGTATGTGATGAATTAATTACTCATGACTCATTTTATGGGATAATACTAGCTTGCAAAATTAGCTGGAAACAAAGTAGTTGCAACCTGTGGAGGTAAGGATAAGGCAAAATTTCTAAGGGATTTGGGAGTTGATCGAGTCATCAACTACAAAGAAGAATCTGTAAAAGATGTATGTATCTTAATTTCCATCAGCTAATTAAGGTTAATTTAAATATTAAACGTTGTTCCTTATGTTACATAATAATTATATATAAAAATTAAACTATCAGGTTCTTAAGAAGGAATTTCCAAAAGGCATTGACATTGTTTTCGAATCTGTTGGTGGTGACATGTTTGATACATGCTTCAACGCATTAGCGACTTTCGGGCGAATGGTTGTAATTGGATCGACCTCTCAGGTAATTGACTACTTTAGTAGGCCTTTTAGTCTGATTTTATATAATTCTAGATATTTCTCCTTTATCACACTTACATTTCCTACTTTTGTTTCAGTATAATGAAGATATGGGAACTACACCAAGAAACTATCCAGGAATATGTGATATACTTCGACAACAGAGCAAGACTGTGGTATGTAATAGTTTCAAGTTTTACATCCATCCCATGAAAATGCATGGTCTAAATGAACCATATTATAATATTTTAAGGGATTTAATTACGTAGCAAGCCCATTATGCAATGTGTTTTTTTCTTTTTCATGGTAAAAATTTGAGAAACTTGCAGACTGGATTCAACCTAGGCCATTATCAGCACGGATGGAAAACACATCTAGATAATATGGTTCATCTTTACTCTATGGGAAAGCTAAAGGTATCATCATATATATTATAACTTTATTAGCATCTTTAGGATAATTCTTTCTAATAGAGTTCACATGCTACTCTTTCTTTGCAATCATATCAGGTTGGAATAGACCCTAAGAGCTTTGTGGGTGTGCAATCTGTTGTTGATGCAGTTGAATATATCCTTTCTGGAAAAAACATTGGAAAAGTATGCACATACAATACAATCAAACTTGTTAGAAATCTGGCACATGCACATTCGCTAACATGATCGACTAATCTTTGCAGGTTGTTGTTTGCATGGACCCGAGTTTCAACAAACAAGCATCCAATTAAGCTTTAAGCTTACGAATAATCAAATAAACACCAGTAGACTGCAAAAACATATATGTCACTAAATGGGTGTAACTTAAACCAGAGAAAAAGATCGAAGCTTTGTAATTTAAATAATATTAAAAATATACTTAATTAATGAATGAAAATAAGATCACTTTGTTATGAATCATATGGATAATAAGTATTTTTAATTTCTGGAAAATATCTTATTTTAGGGAATTATCTTGTTTCAGTTTTTACATTTGGTAATTAGGATCATTTAGTATTTGAGTCGATTTGGGTGATCTTTGTTTCCTTATTAGAGTCTTTTGTTTATCCCTATTTAAAGGGTAGTTGTTCATGAAATAAAATTATGTTTGAAGTCAATTGCTTTTAATCTCTTAGAATAGTTTAACCTAGTCTCCTCTCAATAGGAGATTAGGTGTTAGTAATACTCACGGCTGTAGGAAGTACAAGTACAGGTCCTGTCACGAGATCTAGATCCCGGGTCGTAACAAATTTGGTATCAGAGCCGCTCGTGATGTCTACTCAACAGGAAGAATTGATGAAGAGGCTAGAAGCATTCATGGTGCAACAAACTCAGAGTACCCTTGAATTGAAGGGGGCAGTCGAAGCCTTGCAGGCCAAACATGCGGCGCTGGAAGAGAGTTTATCACAATCCCAAAACAAGGTCAACAAACAAGGGTCTGAAGCAGGCGAGGAAGAAGAAGAGATGGACCAGCAATTTGAAGATAGCAACGAGCTAGGCCGAGGAAGGGGTAAGGGCATCGTCACCGGCAACGCACCAGGAGGCAAGATGACGAGTGTCTTCATGGTGTTAGGTCGAGGCAGGGGGTCGTTTGGATCAAATCCCTTGGGAACAGGACGGGGAGTAGGGAAGGGGTCTGATTCTTGGCGCAATGTAGACCCACAATCATTCAAACACCACTAGGATTTCCAGAAAGTCGAAGGATCGGGACACAATCGGCATATTGAACAAGAACAGGTGCATAAAAGTTGGGATGAATTTGATGAAGGAGGTTACTGTGGCGATCGGGTACCTGGAAATCGGGTGCCTAGATTCGCCAAGATGGAGTTTCCGGTGTATGACGACAAGGGTGACCCACTTGAATGGTTACAAAAGTGTGAGGACTTCTTCGAAGAACAACAAACACCGTCGGAGGCTTGGGTCCGCCAAGCAACTTTCGCCTTACAGAGTCGGGCAAGCGGGTGGTACCGAAACTTGAGAAGGATGAAAAATCGTTTGAATTGGGTCGAGTTTTTGGATGAATGCAAAATCCGTTTCAGTCTGCCTATGAGCTTGAATCCCTTAGTGGAGTTAACTCGGCTTCGACAAGTTGGGACAGTAGAAGACTACTGTGAAAGCTACGAATTGTTGTTGGGTAGGACGACGGGGGTCACACCGGAGCAAAGCATTTGGCACTTTTGTGTGGGGCTAATGAACGTGATAAGATATGAGGTTGAATTTGCGAGACCCATAACTCTATATTATGCCATGAATCTAGCCAGACAAATTGAGCTAAGGGTGGCAGAAGCAGGAGAACCAATAGGTGTCAGGCCTACAGGAAACCAAACCTCGATTGCAAGCCAAAAACGAGAGTCAGCAGGAAAAAGAGGAGCTGGAACCTACAAAGCTGAAACACTAAATCCGGCCTGGAAAAAACAAACGTCTGTAGAAATGGCAGAGAGGCGGGAAAAAGGCTTGTGCTTCAACTGTGATGAAATATTCTCTATTGGGCATAAATGTGCCAAGCTCTTTTGCATCATGATGAACAATGAGGAAGATGACGCTAATGGGTGACTATTGAGCTTGAGGACAAGCTCAATGCGGAGGAGGGGAGTAATGTTATGAATCATATGGATAATAAGTATTTTTATTTCTGGAAAATATCTTATTTTAAGGATTTATCTTGTTTCAGTTTTTACATTTGGTAATTAGGATCATTTAGTATTTGAGTCGATTTGGGTGATCTTTGTTTCCTTATTAAAGTCTTTTGTTTATCCCTATTTAAAGGGTAGTTGTTCATGAAATAAAATTATGCTTGAAGTTAATTGCTTTTAATCTCTTAGAATAGTTTAACCTAGTCTCCTCTCAATAGGAGATTTGGTGTTAGTAATACTCACGGCTGTAGGAAGTACAAGTACAGGTCCTGTCACGAGATCTAGATCCCGGGTCGTAACACACTTTTATTAGTTTGATTGTTTAGATGGTTAGTACTCTTCCCCTAAATTCCCCTAAAGTTAACTAACATGCAAAGAGAACTCACTAGCCATCACTTATGACTCTGCTCGGTGTTGTAAAACATAGACTAGCTAATCTAAAAAGGGCCATAATCTAAAAACCCACTAGGCCAAAAAAAAACTCGAAAAAGTTCAACTCAATAAAAATCAGCTTAACTTAATCCAACTAGGTCCAAACTCAGACCAAATCAGACCAAAACTGGACTGGTCCAATCTAAAAAGGATTAACTCGAAAAAAAATCAATGGCTCTCTTAAACCAGTTGGTAAAATAAAGAACATGTTAAATGTGATTTGAATATTTGGAGGATTCTCATGGAGCATCTGGAACACTTAGAACACTTAAAACATAATGGAGCACTTGAGGTTCATGGATATGTGACAAAGGAACGAATCATTTGAGAAGTGAATGGATCATCAGACAAAGGAAAGGATCAAGTGGCAAATGAACGGATATTCCAAAAAGGGTTTTGGAGCAACTTGGAGTGGTTTGGAGCAACTTAGAGCAACATTCAGCAACTTGGAGCAACATGGAGCATCATGTTGTGCCATGTAGAGGGAAGTTGTGCCATCTTTAGGGATATTGCACAATGATAGAAGGAGTTGTGTCATTTGGGTGCATATTGCACCAAATGGTTAGGAGTTGCACCACACTGAAGAGACATTGCGTCATATCTAGGAGATGTTGTGCCATTAGGGAGTGAAGTTGCGCCAAGAGGAGTGAAGTTACGCCATTTAGGAGAAGTTATGCCATCTTAATGATATGTTGCACCATTATGGGCCATCTTCGTAGCTAATACGCCATCTTGATTCCCCTGATGTGCCATGATATCCCTATTGACCCACATATGCTCTGAAATCCTCTTTGATGCTCATAACTTGATCATACTCAAGAAATGCACCATGTTGTGTCACCATGATGGATGTTAGACCATTTGTGTTCATGTTGTGCCACTTATGTATTGTGATGCTCCATTATGGTTCAAGGTCGTCCATTATTTGTGATGTTGATACACAAGCGTTTTATGACATGGAAGAATGTTCTAGATGATGTTGCATGGCGGAATATGATTGGTTGTCACAATTCATGGGCCAATGGGCTTGACCCATTAAGGATTTAGGTCTGATCCCTCAAATTTAAATAGGGATGTTTGCTTAGTCATTTGATGGCTCGTTGTAACACCCAGAATCAGGAAGACCATGAAAACAAAGGTTAAGCTCTAAATCAAGAGTCAACTCGTCGAGTCCAGGGAGGAACTCGACGAGTCGGAGCGGGATCCTTGTCATTGAGTAAGTGACCGACTCGGTGAGTCAGAGAGTGGACTCGGCGAGTCTGGTCTGGGCGAGAAAAACCCTAATCGCAGAGGTTGTGCCTTATATAAAGCACATTATAACCCACCCTCAACCTCTTTACTCCCCTTTTGAGTTCCAGAAACCCTAGAATTGAGTGAGCCTTCATTATTTGAGAGATTAGAGCCTTGGAAGAGAGAATCTTAGAGAGGGGCTTGAAGATCAAGGGCTTTGCTGCAAAGGAGTGGTGTAGATCCGGGATTTACTTCAGTTGGAGCTTTCATTTGAGGTAGTAGTCTGTTGTTTTGGCTTATGTGCATCTAGATCTATCTTATGTTTGAGTTTTTGGGCATTTTGAGTATGGATGAGATCTATTTCGAGTTTGGAGCAGATCTGAGGTTGCTACCTTAGATCTAGGTTGGTAATAACCTAGAAAGTCATAAAGTTTAGGCCAATAAGTTGTTGGTGAAGCCCCTTTGTTACAAACCCTAGCCCTAGAGTGTTCTAAGCCTATAACTCCTTAGTTACACGTAAAGTTTGCCACTTTACGTGGGGGTTAGGCTCTTGAGGATTGGATCTATGGATTTGAGCCCCTGCATGGCTCGAAAAGCCACTGTATGGATTAAGAACTGAAGAGACTCGGCGAGTCACATGGGTGTACTCGGCGAGTTGTATGAACGAACTCGGCGAGTTGGAAGAACAACTCGGCGAGTTAGTTGAAGATTGCCTTGGACTCGGCGAGTCTGGTCGCAGAACCTCAAACATTTTCTGGTTAAGCCTCGACTTAGGCGTCCCTAGAAGCATGCTTTTGTATGATGACTAAAGCCTCAATTGATTTTGAGTGAAGCCTTAATAACATGATATATACCAATCATGTTTTCCCAATCCAGGCTATCAAGTTCACTCTAATCATGAGCTACCTTACTCTACTCAAATTGAGTTTAGAGTTTTTTGCTTAGTCCTTCTTTCTTTAAAAGTAGAGGTACATTCGCTTCTTATACCATCTCCATTATAATTCGTTTCACTAATATAACCCCTAAGACTCTCAGATTAACCACTGAGGTTTATGGTTATACAAAATCTGCATTCATGATCTTAGTTTCATGCCACTATGTACTAAGTGCAACCCAAAGTTCAACACCACTAATGAATTGACGGTGAATTCAAAAATTCTTGTTAACCAGTGAAATCTCTTTTTTCTTTTGAGTGATCTTTATAAGTTTGTCTTTCACCAAGGCTTCTCTAACCCTAAAAGATCCAATTTAATTTTTTTTGAGATTTCCTTACTTCCTTTTGTCACTATAAAGTTTTTCATACCTACTTGTTCAACAGATCGCAATGATCTCACAAGTACTTCATTCAGTTTCGGTCTGATGTTAAGTATCGAAATTATGAATTGAAGCGAAAGCTACCCTCTTTAACCTTTAAAAAAAACCTTACAAAACTTCTCAACAAGTTATTGATCGTTATTCAATGGGAAACCAAGCAAGCACTTCAATGTCTCTCTTGACTTTGAAGGAAGTGATTTTTGCCCATAATCAATTGTTTTATGTCTGACTACGACATCACAGATAATCCCTAAAATCCCGTTTTATTTCTTTATCTTTTACACCCTCTACACGAAAATTTTTAATTTTCCAAATTCTAGTTTTCCACAGAATGATAATTCAAATGCTAAAGGCACAAAGAATCAAACGTCATAAGGAGAAACGATTGGGATAAAGTGGAAGCTGACTTAGCGGCTATCCAAACGGTTTGGCGACTTGAAAAAGTGAGTTATATGAAAGGACGTGTAAAAGGGAAACGTCTTTTCTCTCTCCTGCATCATCTTCAGCATGCCAACTGTTCACCCATCAACTCAGGCGCTATTTTTGAGATAATCCAAGATTTCAGTCGGATTTTTCTCTCTCTTCCTTGTACGTATAAAAGGAATTGGAACGGTACTCTCTCAACCTTTATCACTTCCAAAAATATCTCAAAGAAACCCGATGATTCTTTGCAACTGTTCATCATCTTCTCCAAGCTACTTCCATGGCAGAATCATCACCCGTTCACGATACCTCAGTTCGTCAACCTCTTCTCACCATCAAACCCCAATAGAACCTGATCATTGATCTCACTCCATTTGTCTATGAGCCCTATATGTTGTATGTGGTTGAGTGTCTCAAATACTCACCACTCGTTGACGCACTGACTAAGGTTGAAGTGGTTCCCATGTTGTGTATGTCTCTTGTCTACTCTACTGCATTCTATGACAAGATTAATAAACATATTCATTTTGAACTCCATGATGAGAAGACCTCCATCTCCAAGAGTTGATTTTGTGCCCTAATTGGTCTTTCTCAAGATTCATCTCTGGTAAACCCTGATTCCATTACAACTGGTCAACTGTTTTGTAACATCCCAAAAATACGAGCCAAAAATTTCATTTTAAAAACATGTTCTTAGCAATACATTAGGACTAAAACGTTCAATGATCATATCATTTCATAAAAGATATTGCATGTATGGAAAACATTTTTATAAAACATAAGAGTGTCAGAGTACAAATCCCCAGGTGATATCGTAATGCGGAATATAAAGTGTGTGTGTGATGTACCACTACCGCGCCAACTCCTTCCCCTTCGAAGAAGAGGTACCTGAAACCAAAACTGAAAACTGTAAGCACGAAGCTTAGTGAGTTCCCCCATAATACCTCATACCATATAAACATACAATGAAGAGCTAGGAGATATGGGCCTCGTCCACACTCATGAAGATACGGGCTTCGCCTACACTCCGCTAGCTGGGAGATACGGGCCTCGCCCACACTCCACTCTCAGAGAGATACGGGCCTCGCCCACACTCAGCTGCTAACCCATATTGTATCACACAGACAACGGGTATAAACAACTCTATCATACTGGTATATATCATAATCAACTCAACCAAGAGATACGGGCTCGGCCCACACTCTAATACTAACATCTCGTCTATACGGGTCAGACTTGGTGCCTTAGACCCGTTACTACTGGAAGGAAACTCACCTCAAAGTAACTGTTGATCTGTGTGGGAACTGACTGTCTGCTGCTGCTGCCGCTCCGGAAATCCTCCGGCTATAATTCCCACAAAACCCTTAGTCAAATACTGCTAACCGACTTCAGGGTAAAATAACCATTTACCCTTTACAAATCAAGAGTCAAGTCAAAGTCAACTGTTAGTTGGCCTGACTTGCCGAGTTGACTTGTCAACTCGCCGAGTCCCTATCCCTTTGTCTGACCCTAAACCCGTCT